GGTGGCGAGCGGCTTCCTTGGGTGGCGGGGGGGGGGGGGCCGCAGCTAGGGCTCCGCCCGGCAGGGAGAAGTGGGGCGGCACAGCCTGCAGCTTCTCCTCTAGATTCCCGCTGCTCTCCCCCTCCTGTATGGGCAGAGGCAGCGGGGATCCGAGGAGAAGTGAAGTGCTGAAGCTGTGCTGCCACAATGTTGCATGGAGTATGTATTCATAGCCTCAGTTAATATTCACATTAATGTAAATAAGAATTTATATAGTTTTTTTCCTTAAACCATTTTCTCATACATATTCTATGGCTAAGTTCATGTGTTGCCATCTGGTGGTCTTTTTTTGTATTGCACATGTTTTTCTGTGTTCCCTTCCCTCACATCTATGATGTATTTCCTTCTGTGTGTAATGCTCCGCCCTTCTTCTTCAATAGCATTTCCTGTCTCCAGGATGCTTGTAACAGGGACACATGTTAATCTGCATTGCATGCTTTGAACATTATCATCTTTCGACCACCTTAAATACCGCAATTCATTCATCTGCTGTACCCTGTTATCTGCTGTATCCTGATGTACAGAATAAAGCACCTTTGTGGATGGAAAAGGTATTTGGTGAGTTCAACTATCTGATAAGGATTGTCCGCAGTGATTTTATCTGCTTATACAGGCCAGGCATAGAGGTCTCAGCAAGGGATAACTCGCTATTACAACAATCGGAGTCAGAATAGAAGCCGTGGGGGAGGGAGGGGAGGAGGGAGCTGTCACTTTAGGATATCCAAGCGGTGAGGAGAGGAGAGAGAGAGTCGCTCGGCCAGGATCTGACACCTGGTGGCTCTCTCTCTCCTCAATGCTCAGCCATCCTAGAGTGACAGCACTCCCTCCTTTAGCACTTCACTTCTCCTCGGATCCCCGCTGCCTCTGCCCATACAGGCGGGGGAGAGCAGCGGGAATCCAGAGGAGAAGCTGCAGGCTGAGCCCCCCGCTGTGTGTGGCCGAGCGGCGGAGGGCCGGTACATATCTGTGTGCAGAGCAAACACTGGAGCGATCAGCTAATAACTGGGGACACATAGTATTATGTGTCCCCCAATTATGAATGAACAGGAATTGCTTTACATCACTTGCTGTTCATTCATGAGTTTCTGAATGGGTAGTCGCACTCTGTACAGAGGCTCCTCCCCATTTAGAAACTGGTTGATAGTAAATATTTTCTGAATTAATGGGAAGCCTCTGTGCTTTTCATTCATTTAGAACAGAGGCTGCAGAAAAAAGAGATTGAGGAAATATCAGGGGGCTGATTAGACCTCTAAAATTTCCCCGAAGCCCACCCAACAGTAAAAAAAAAATGAAAATTAAAAAATTAAAAACAATAAAAATAATAAGAAAAAATAAATAAGAAAAAATAATAAGAAAATACATTTTAAAAAACACATCCTGGAGGCGGGGCGCATGACGTCACATGACGCCTCATGTGCACGGCGTTGGGTGACGTCACACGCCTTTTGGGGGTAAGGGGGGAACACTGTTTTATCTTGCCTTGGGTGCAAAAAGAGCTTGCTACGGCTCTGCCATACATACAAGTATTAGTCCACTGAGTCCAGTCATTTATGAGGATACTTAACATGACATATAAGTCCTGATGAAGGGGGAGGGATTGAATCCCACGAAACGCATCGGCTCTCTTATCTAGTTTTGGACTCTATGATATTGGATCTGCAGCCATTACGCATCCTCTCATAGCTGGATTAATAGTATTGGGGCCGGGTGGCCCTTTTGTGGCATGACCCCGTTACTTTAGCCAGATCAGTACAGGATAACCTAAAGTATAACCAGCCAATCCCGTAAACCGGACACCCGGTGCACCCGCATCCCCGACTCACCTGTGTGATGTCATGGTCTGCTTCATCTGATCGTAGAACACAAAGTCCGGCTGCCTGAAAAGACACACGGGGGGTGTTCATGTGATATAGAGAGATGACGCCATTGTTCTACGGATGGACACATTGTACACTTATATTAGGAGAGTTGTGATGTCACTCAAATATGTCAATTGGAGCAAAACTCCCATATTTCACATCCTTTACTGTCGGCTATTTTTGCATTCAGTGATAGACTGTCAGCTCACAACAAATAACCGCCATCATTACCTATAATAACCGCCATCATTACCTATAATAACCGCCATCATTACCTAAAATAACCGCCATCATTACCTGCAATAACCGCCATCATTACCTACAATAACCGCCATCATTACCTATAATAACCGACATCATTACCTATAATAACCGCCATCATTACCTATAATAACCGCCATCATTACCTATAATAACCGCCATCATTACCTAAAATAACCGCCATCATTACCTGCAATAACCGACATCATTACCTATAATAACCGCCATCATTACCTATAATAACCGCCATCATTACCTATAATAACCGCCATCATTACCTATAATAACCGCCATCATTACCTATAATAACCGCCATCATTACCTGCAATAACCGCCATCATTACCTATAATAACCGCCATCAGTACCTATAATAACCGACACCACGGAACAAGCGGCCGGAAAAAGAAGTCCAATAAAGTGCAAAATATTTCAGTTTACATCTATTACACACACACTGCATTCTGCAATGATATCCACAGTCCACCCTAATGAAGAGGAGGATGGCAATGACAGCAAAAGGGGTGGAGCTTCCCCATCACTGATCCACATGGCTACTCCATATATCTTCACAGCGCTTGTGAACTCTGCCCCCCCCCCTCCCCACACACACACACACTCCCCCACCCCTTCCATTATACAAATATTTTGTAGTGTGATTTTTTTTTAAATTCAAAGTATTTATTTTAATTTGATTTCATTTTTATGCGGTGGTGTAATTGTAGTCCTTGCAGCTCAGGTGACTACTAGGGGGCCGGGGGGGGGAAAGGGGCCCCACCAAGGAGCTGGCTAAGGCAATGTAAACCTGGACAATGAATGTGCATGTAATGATAAATCAGATCCAGAATTGGATCATTCATTCATTGGATCCCGAGCTGCTGTCAGTCACAGATCTCCTTTACTTTCCCCCCATCTGGGAGCAGATTAATTCAGAGCTTTCTCGTCATCCCGGCCAGCACTGTGATATTAACCCCGTATGACTCACGCAGTCTCTTCAACTAAAAACTAAGAAGACTTTAAAAAAAAGAGTTTTCAGATGTTTGTATGAAGCATGTAGAGTCATTGTGTGTAGGAGCGCTAACCAGTGGTGTCATGGACTGAGAGCCCGACAGTGTCAGGAGAGAGGAGGGGAGGGGACCCGGCGGCATACTTCATCCCCCTGGGTGAACGTCCCCTTCTCCCCCTCTGCCGGCGTCCATCACCAAGATGGCTGCCGGCAGGCGTCAATGAGATGACTGCGCATGCGCGGTGACGTCACGCCGGGGTGTCACCCGGTCTCCGCTCCGGTTGCGGTATTCTGATGTTTTGCTGTAACATTGCCTTATACTTATGTAATATGGACAGGTATCGATATGTTTCACCTTCTTGCTACATTGTTGCCAGTCACACAATCATCGGGGTGCAGCTGCCATTTTGCCCTATGAGACCCATTCCCCTGCTGGTAGATAGAGCATTGACTGGGTGACACATCACTGGTATGGCCAGGGGGTGGTGGTGAAGGTGGGGGAGGGGAGTGTTATGTCATAGAGTAGAGACTGGGGCCCGGTAAATCCTTCCAAAACCCTCCATGCCCCAACCGTAAGATAATCTATAGTTGTATGAGTCTATACTCTTACAACAAGAGTAGAGAAATGCAAAACATGTATTGAAAATCTTTTAAGAAAGTGAGTAATCCACCCAAAATCAGAGTTGCTGGGATTTAAATTGACCCAACATGAATATTATTCCAGCTTTTCCCCAATAAATCTTGCTGAGCCTTGTGGCTCCACAGAAGCCGCCACAGCGCATGTTATCGCTATTCCCTCCACGGAAGCATCCGTACCCCTCATCTGGTTTGAACACGTGGCGCCTCACACCTTTCAGGTGCCTCTTGAACAGATGCTCGGCGGTGGACAGTATGGGGTGCGTCCGGTCAAGGAGCTGAGCGGCACGAGGCTGGGACGCCAACCAGTCCAAGATGGCCGACAACCGCTCTTCATCAACACTCTGCAACCAGAAAGTCAGAGACGGATGAGAACCGACGCAGAGCAAATACAATGAGAATGTTTCATCATCATCATCACAAGTTCATATTTTGTCTGTTACATTTGCACGTTTGCAGCCTACAGGAGTAGCAGAGGAAGGAATATTGATGGACAACAATGATAGATTTACACCGATCAGCCATAATATTATGACCACCCGCCTAATAGTGAGTAGGTCCCCCTTTTCCTGACCCATCGAGGCATGGACTCCACGAGACCTCTGAAGGTGGGCTGTGGTATCTGGCACCGAGCCATCAGTAGCAGATCCTTTAAGTCCTGTGAGATATGAGGTGATCGGCCTCCATGGATCGGACTTGTTGCTCCAGCACATCCCACAGATGATCGATTGGATTGAGATCTGGAGAATTTGGAGGTGAAGTTATCACCTCAAACTTGTTGTTGTGTTCCTCAAACCATTCTTCAACCATGTGTGCAGTGTGGCCGGGCGCATTATCCTGCTGAAAGAGTCCACTGCCATCAGGGAAGACCGTTTCCATTAAGGGGGGTACTTGGTCAGGAACGATGTTTAGGTCGGTGGTACGTTTCAAGGTAACATTCACATGAATGGCGGGACCCGAGGTTTCCCAGCAGAACATTGCCCCAAGCGTCACACTGCCTCCGCCAGCTTGTCTTCTTCCCATAGTACATCCTGGTGCCATCTCTTCCCCAGGTAAGGGACACACATGCACCCGGCCATCCACAAGATTCATCAGACCAGGCCACCTTCTTCCATTGCTCCGTGGTCCAGTTCTGATGCTCATGTGCCCATTGTAGGTGCTGTTGGTGGTGGACACGGGTCAGCATGGGCCCCTGATTGGTCTGCGGCTACACAGCCCCATACACAACAACCTGCGTTGCTCTGTGTGTCCAGACACCTTTCTATCAGAACCAACATTCACTTTATCAGCATTGTGATCTCCAGTATCTCTTCTATTGGATTGGACTACATGGGCCAGACTTCCCTCCCCCCTTCCATCAATAAGCCTTGGCCGCCCATCACCCTCTCGCTGGTTCACTGGCTTTCCTTCCTTGGACCACTTTTGGGCGCTCCGAACCACTGCAGACCGGGAGCATCCCACAAGAGCTGCAGTTTTGATATTGTTCTGACCCAGTAGTCTCGCCATTACAATTTGGTCCTTGTCAAAGTCCCTCAAACTCTTCCACTTGTCCATTATATCTGCTTCCAACACATCAACTTCAGGGACAAAATGTTCACTTCCTGCCGAATATATCCCCTCGCAATCCAAGTGCCATTGTAATATCCCCCCCCCCACTTCCTGGAGGAGGCAGAGCACTGTGGGAGCAGGACTGGAGAAGGCGGAACACTGTGGGAGCCGGTCTGGAGGAGGAAGAGCACTGTGGGAGCAGGTCTGGAGGAGGCGGACCAATGTGGGAGCCGGTCTGGAGGAGGAGGAGCATTGTGGGAGCAGGTCTGGGAGAGGCAGAGCACTGTGGGAGCAGGTCTGGAGGAGGCGGAGCACTGTGGGAGTCGGTCTGGAGGAGGCAGAGCACTGTGGGAGCCGGTCTGGAGGAGGCGGAGCACTGTGGGAGCCGGTCTGGAGGAGGCGGAGCACTGTGGGAGCCGGTCTGGAGGAGGCGGAGCACTGTGAGAGCAGGTCTGGAGGAGGCGGAGAACTGTGGGAGCAGGTCTGGGAGAGGCAGAGCACTGTGGCAGCCAGTCTGGAGGAGGTGGGGCACTGTGGGAGCAGGCCTGGAAGAGGAGGAGCACTGTGGGAGCGGGTCTGGAGGAGGCGGAGTACTGTGGGAGCGGGTCTGGAGGAGGCGGAGCACTGGAGGAGCAGGTCTAGAGGAAGAAGTTCTGTCCTCCTCCTCGCTTGTTCTAAATGCTAGGTAAGCACATAATTGGTTGGTTATTAGGACACCAGAGGATCCTGGCAACCAACCAGCAGCTGCCGGGGTTGATGATAGTAGCTGGTCTGCTGTAAGTGTTGGCGAACTCTTGCTGATGAAGACCGTGCCCCCCCCCCCCATTTAGGTGGGGCTCAGGGCATGTACCTTATGTGCCTTTCCCTGGATACGCCACTGACAACACTCACTTACAACATCATTCACCATACTGTATCTATGGAGGAGCAGCATTGTCACCCTAAGACTGAAAGTGTGTTAGGACTGCAGAACACTTCAACCTTTACTCTGCTCACAGCATGGGGGAAAGTGTTCTGTAGTCCACAAAAATAGCTGGAAACAATGTAACTGATGGAAATTCAGCACAGACAGAGAGTACACAGGAAGTTATCAGTTCAAAAGATTTCTGGCCGGATCAATGTGTATTTTTTTGCACTTATTAAACAGATATAAAAAAAAACACTTTCAATGGGATATATGGGATGATGGGATGATAAAAATATATATTTATAAAAGTCCATGTGAGTGAACACCTCTTCATATGACAGAAGAATGATATATAACATACCAGAGCTCCTGTAAAGATCTGCAGGTTCTCCAGATTCGCCTGAAAAACAAAACATAACAATGGAATAAGAATAGACTGGAGGTGTATACTGCAATATGATCACCAGGGGGCAGTGTGAGGAATAGACTGGAGGTGTATCCTGCAATATGATGACCAGGGGGCAGTGTGAGGAATAGACTGGAGGTGTATCCTGCAATATGATGACCAGGGGGCAGTGTGAGGAATAGACTGGAGGTGTATCCTGCAATATGATGACCAGGGGGCAGTGTGAGGAATAGACTGGAGGTGTATCCTGCAATATGATGACCAGGGGGCAGTGTGAGGAATAGACTGGAGGTGTATCCTGCAATATGATGACCAGGGGGCAGTGTGAGGAATAGACTGGAGGTGTATCCTGCAATATGATGACCAGGGGGCAGTGTGAGGAATAGACTGGAGGTGTATCCTGCAATATGATGACCAGGGGGCAGTGTGAGGAATAGACTGGAGGTGTATCCTGCAATATGATGACCAGGGGGCAGTGTGAGGAATAGACTGGAGGTGTATCCTGCAATATGATGACCAGGGGGCAGTGTGAGGAATAGACTGGAGGTGTATCCTGCAATATGATGACCAGGGGGCAGTGTGAGGAATAGACTGGAGGAGTATACTGCAATATGATCACCAGGGGGCAGTGTGAGGAATATACTGGAGGTGTGTACTGCAATATGATCACCAGTGGGAAGTGTGAGGAATAGACTGGAGGTGTATACTGCAATATGAGTACCAGGGGGCAGTGTGAGGAATAGACTGGAGGTGTATACTGCAATATGAGCACCAGGGGGCAGTGTGAGGAATAGACTGGCGGTGTATACTGCAATATGAGCACCAGGGGGCAGTGTGAGGAATAGACTGGAGGTGTATACTGTCTGCAATATGAACACCGGGGGGGCAGTGTGAGTCCTCAGTGTGCTTCACTAACTTCACAACTGACAGGTTCTGATTTCCAGATGTCCAGGTAGAAGGGCAGCCATGTTCATCATTATAGGATCTCTATAAATCATCCATTTTATCGGTCACATTGAGGGCTTCAGGTAGATGGTGGTGTTAAAATGACCTCCATGACTACAGCTGAGCTCCATTGCCTGTCACACTGATCTCCTCCACCAGGGGGCGCTGTGGTAGCATCACATGTCTCTCCCCTCGGGTGTCCAGCACTGATGAGCTGGGTCAGAGGTCACACAGTGTGGATTCATCTAATACTTCAGTCCGTTCATTCCTTTCTTCTCACCCCGGAGGATAATGAGCCGTGCGATGCAGCGCGGCGGTTTGATCTCTCCGCCGTTCTGCGTCATCACACAACGTTCTTTTATTTGAGGAATATCTACAATTGTATCTGAAATGGGATTCATGAAGCAGCAGAAGTGAAGAGAGGAAACGTGGAGCGTGAAGGATTATCGCTCAGCGCTGGCGGGATTCATGGGATCGCAGGGGCCGTCTGTGACAAGCATTTAAAGGATCACTCCCCCCAAAAGTGACACTCCGGGCAAACAGCAAAACAATCAGATCCACGACATACATGGGAGTTGTTTTATCTGTAGCAGGGTTTGTATTTCTGTCTATCCAACTCTGAGATTCACACAGCTCTGCCAGCCTGGTGACCTGGTTTTATGTACTGCAGTTAGGCAACATAGCTGATTGCCCCCACACTGAGGGAACAGCAACAGACCAATGTGCTCTCTCCTCCTGTCAGCATGTTCCTTTTTAGCACATAGATCTGATACCAGCAAGTCCATCTCACCTTTGCAGTTCCGCTGTATAGAACCCGACCCAGAGCCTCGTACAGGACCTCTGTGTTCCTCCTGAGCCGCGTTATGTCCACCCGAGCCCTGCAACACATCAGAAGGAAAGCATATTCCACTGCAATTATATACACCATATGGTCTCAAGTATGTGGTCACCTGACCATCACACCTACCTATATGGTCTCAAGTATGTGGTCACCTGACCATCACACCTACCTATATGGTCTCAAGCATGAGGTCACCTGACCATCACACCTATATGGTCTCAAGTATGTGGTCACCTGACCATCACACCTATATGGTCTCAAGTATGTGGTCACCTGACCATCACAGCTACGTATATGGTCTCATGTATGTGGTCACCTGACCATCACACCTACCTATATGGTCTCAAACAAGTGGTCACCTAACAATGACACCTACCTATATGGTCTCAAGCAAGTGGTCACCTGACCATGACACCTACCTATATGGCCTCAAACGTGGTCACCTGACCATCACACCTATATGGTCTCAAGTATGTGGTCACCTGGCCATAACAGCTTCCTATATAGTCAAAAGTACTTGGACCCCCCTCCAAATAATGGAGTTCAGATGTTCCCAGTGAAGGGTTCTGTTAAACCTACAACATACAAGGACATTGTAGACAATTGTCCTCTTCCAGCCTTGTGGTGACAGTTTGGTGAAGACCCTTTTCTATTCCACCATGACTGTCCCCTGTGTACAAAGCCAGCTCCATAAAGACATGGTGTGACCAGCGTGGTGGAGGAACTCGAGTGTCCTGCACAGAGTCCTGACCTCAACCTACTGAACACCTCTGAGATGAATTGGGACACCGATTGTGAGCCGGGCCTTCTCACCCGATATCGGAACCTGAGCTCAAGTAATGGCCACAAATTCCCTTGTGGAAAGCCTTCCCAGAAGAGGGGAGGGGGATGGGACTCAATATTAATGGCCATGGTTTTGGCATGGGATGTCCAACAAGATGATATGGGTGAGCTGGTCAGGTGACAACAGACCTTTGGTTACATAGTGTACATCATGTCATGGCCATCCATGAACCATAGAACCAGCATTGCTCTTGCATGGAGGTCATGTGATGTACACAAATGCGTGCGGTCTTAAGCAAAGGACGTACCACCAACGCCATCAATGGGATGTGTCTTATGTGGTCCCCCATGTGCAGTGTCACGGACAGAGAGGGACAGTCATGGAGATTACAGGCGTGTGACCCGTTCCTTTGTTACCTGGGTCATACTCATCTACAACTAGACCGGGTGTGCCGGCAGTATGTTTTGGCTGAGCTCTTGCCTATCGAATTGATACTTGAGTCGTCATCAGAGGGACAGCCCCCATTGCGGAGATTAGGGAACATTGCGCAGTGAAACCCCGCGGGGGCTCCCGGCCGGGCTCCTCACTAGATCTCTAGTATCATATATAGCACTATAGTCACAGCCGAGGTGGCTGCATGCCGCGGTGTCACCATTACACCGGATTACCTGGTGTCCAGTATAGACTTCCTCATCCCACTTTTGTGGCTGCGCAGGTGAGACGCGGTGAAAGCCGGGAGACGGCGCCAGCTGAACTGCTCGTGTTCCCACACCAGGAAGTTCTCCCCTAAATTTATCTTCTTGTGGACCAGCGAAAAATTCAGACCCACAAAAGGAGGAGACTGTGTGACCTGGAGGAGGGCAAAGAGGACCGGTCATTATGGGAGATACGAGATAAGACAATCAGTAACCTGCTAATGGTGTGCAGCAAAGACCGCAGCTGTGCTAAAGTCTGGAAGTCACTCAGCTTACCTTTCCTATGATTCCTAATGGTGGAGATAAGATAAGCAGACAGCCAGAGTAAATTGTAGCCTGTGCCAACTCCATTGTGTGAGAGGTGTGCCCTGTCTGCGCCAGCCTCCTGAGAGTCATTGGATGGTGTGCCCTGTCTGTGCCCGCCTCCTGAGAGTCATTGGAAGGTGTGCCATATCTGTGCCCGCCTCCTGAGAGTCATTGGACGGTGTGCCCTGTCTGTGCCCGCCTCCTGAGAGTCATTGGAAGGTGTGCCATGTCTGTGCCCGCCTCCTGAGAGTCATTGGAAGGTGTGCCCTGTCTGTGCCCGCCTCCTGAGAGTCATTGGAAGGTGTACCCTGTCTGTGCCCGCCTCCTGAGAGTCATTGGAAGGTGTACCCTGTCTGTGCCCGCCTCCTGAGTCATTGGAAGGTGTGCCCTGTCTGTGCCCGCCTCCTGAGAGTCATTGGAAGGTGTACCCTGTCTGTGCCCGCCTCCTGAGAGTCATTGGAAGGTGTACCCTGTCTGTGCCCCCCCCGAGAATAATTAAGAGGTGTGCCCTGTCTGTTCATGCCCCCTGAGAGTCATAAGAAGGGGTGACTTGTCTGTGTCCGGCCCCTGAGAGTCATTGAGAGGTGTGCCCCGTATTCGCCTGCCCCCCAAGAGCTATTGAGACATGCTCCCTGTCTGTGCCCGCCACCTGAGAGTCATTGAGAGGTGTGCCCTGTCTGTGCCCACCCCCTGAGATTCAATCGAGAAGTGCATCATGTTTGTGCCCATCTCCCCCGAGGGTCATTGGGAGGTGTACCTTGGCTATGCCCGCCTCCCCCGAGGGTCATGGTTGGGTGTGCCTTGGCTATGCCTGCCTTCCCTGAGGGTCCTGGATGGGGGTGCCTTGGCTATGCCCGCCTCCCCCGAGGGTCATGGATGGGTGTGCCTTGGCTATGGTCACCTCCCCCAAGGGTCATTGGGAGGTGTACCTTGGCTATGCCCGCCTCCCCCGAGGGTCATGGTTGGGTGTGCCTTGGCTATGCCCGCCTTCCCTGAGGGTCATGGATGGGGGTGCCTTGGCTATGCCCGCCTCCCCCGAGGGTCATGGATGGGTGTGCCTTGGCTATGCCCGCCTCCCCCAAGGGTCATGGATGGGTGTGCCTTGGCAATGCCCGCCTCCCCGAGGGTCATGGATGGGTGTGCCTTGGCTATGGCCGCCTTCCCTGAGGGTCATGGATGGGGGTGCCTTGGCTATGCCCACCTTCCCTGAGGGTCATGGATGGGTGTGCCTTGGCTATGCCCGCCTTCCCTGAGGGTCATGGATGGGTGTGCCTTGGCTATGCCCGCCTTCCCTGAGGGTCATGGATGGGTGTGCCTTGGCTATGCCCGCCTTCCCTGAGGGTCATGGATGGGTGTGCCTTGGCTATGCCCGCCTTCCCTGAGGGTCATGGATGGG